CTCTGTATGTGTGTATATCTATCTCCTCAATATTTATTCCACTCTATATGCATCCGAAGAAGTGGTCTGTAGCGAAAGCTTATGCTCTAATAAATTTGTTAGTCTCTAAGGTGCCACAAGTACTCCTGATCTTTAAATATGAGGTGCAATTTAAGATAATCAACCACCACACCAGTAAGCAACTTAAAAACTCAAATCTTTCTCCCCTCAAACAGTTCCCCACCAATTTCAAATGTCTGGGAAAAACTATGAGCATTGCAATATGCCCTGATGGTAATAAGATAAAATGCTCTACTGGTGCTGATTTTATGGCATATAGCTATTAGTCTTCCAACAGCTTTTTAACCGCTCTTCTGTGTCTATCCTGAAAAAGCAGGATTTGAGAGAGCAGAACTAATGCTTCAGAATCGTGTGTCCTGTTAAGAAAAATCATCCACAGGTCATGCTTGAGACCATTTATTCCATTATTTTTAAAGACTCAAGCTTAACTCTGCATACCAAAACAGAATTGATGATTTTGAAATTAATTTATCAGGTTGACAGTGCTGCTGGAGCTGGAAACAGTCTTCATATTTCCTTAATCTTGGTTAGTTTTTGTGCCTGAGAATGGAGTCATTTGCAGGTCTGTTGATGGATATATACAGCAGCTAATGTGATTTTTTTGTTAGTTCCTCCACGGTTTTCTACTGTCTTTGGATAATCCACCTACCCGCTAATTAGATTTCTGTCAAGAATCTAGGCTCTTATTGAAACCAATGGGATTTTAGCCATTCACATCAATAGGCCCTTCAAATGTGTTGTATAAAATGTGATGATGTAGATTGTTTCTGCAAAACTTATTTTAATGATTCAAGGATCTTCTGAATCATGACAGGAATTAGTTACAAATGGATTCTAACTTGCATTGCTCAGTTCATGTAATTATATTTGGGGCTACCATAAGGAACACTGAAAGAATCTTTTCATTTTGAAATAATGCTTATAAAAAAATTACGTAATTTCCTTAAAATAGTATTACAATTGTAAAATGTAGTGATTTTGGACAACTGGCATAGAAAAAGTGCGCCAGGGCGCTGGTCCGGCCATCACGATTCCTGGTCCAGGGCGAGCTCATGGCCTCCCTCAAAGAGGGAGAAGTATACCAACAGCTCGGCACACCCACAGGAGTCCGAGTCCGACAGACCCCCAAAGACACCATTGCGGAGATCCTGCGAGACGTGGCCCAAATCGACTCCTCCCTGGTCGCCCCCTGGCAAAAGATGGATGCCCTCAATACCTTCCTGATCCCCCGCATCTCCTTTGTCCTCAGGGGATTGGCCGTAGCCAAGGTGCCCCTGAACAAGGCCGACAATACCATCAGGCAGCTGGTGAAGAAGTGGCTCTACCTTCCCCAGAGGGCCAGCATGGACATCATCTACATTTCCCACAGGCAGGGTGGCGCCAACGTACCTTGGATGGGTGATCTGTGCGACGTGGTGGTGATGACCCACACCTTCCGCCTCCTGACATGCCCAGACCCGATGGTGAGGAGCATCGCTCAGGAAGCTGTACAGGCCGTGGTCAGGAAACGCATCGCCAGGGCCCCCTCCGAGCAGGACATCGCCACTTACCTCAGCGGCTACCTGGAGGCTGAGTTTGGGAGAGAGGGGGGAGATCTATCCTCTCTCTGGTCCCGTGCCTGCAACGCCTCGAGACGCCTGGGTAAGAGGATCGGCTGCTGCTGGAAGTGGGGGGCCGGGAGCTGGGAATACTGGTACCATGCTTAAAGACCCCGGACCACACCATCGTCACCCCGACCGCCAGAGCTATGCTGGAAAAGACCCTGAAGGACACCATCCGCTGCCACTATGCCGAGAACCTCAAGCGGAAGCCGGACCAGGGCAAGGTGTTCGAGGTGTCCAGCAAGTGGGACACCAGCAACCACTTCCTCCCCAGGGGCAGCTTCACCAGGTGCGGCTGTGCAAACGAGACCCTGCCCCACGTCCGGTGTGGATGCAAACAGCACTCCGGAACCTGGTGGCACCACCAAAATACCATCCAGAACAGGCTGGTGAAAGCCATCCCGCCGTTCCTGGGGAAGATCACCCTCGACTCCGCCATCAGCAGTGTAGCGGGGTGGTAACCCCGCTCCGGTCCAGAGGGGGCTGTGGCTGGAGAAAGCAGCTTTTAGGCTGAGCTGATTGGGGGAAGTGGCTGCAGCTGGGGCCACGCCCCAAACAGACTCAGCTGGCCCTATAAAGGCCAGGGCAGCCAGAAGCTCAGCAGTCTCTCTCTGAGTGCAGAGAGAGAAGGGCCTGGCTGCAGCAAGCTAGCGATAGCGTACCTGAGTGGAGCAGGGCTGGGGACAGGTTGAGGAGCTCCAGCCTGGATAGCCCCAGGCTGTGGCCTAGCGGAAGGCCAAGGGGTACTGGGGGTTGCAGAGGGCAGCCCAGGGCTAGGCCAAGGCAGCAGGTCCAAACCCTCCTTGTTAGTGATGAGTGGCCTATACTGCAGTCTGCCCCAGGGAACGGGGCTAGTTGGTGAGTGGCAGTGGCCTAGTGCTGAGGGAAGGTGGGGATAGTGGGTGGGGGTTCCCCTGGGAGGGGAGACCTAGGGTGTGGGTACTGCCAGGGGGCAGCACCCAGAGCAAGGGGGCACCGGGGTCCTGGGAGGGACACGGGAGCTGAGGAGAGGACAGGTGGATCACCGGCCTGCAGAGGGTGCTCCAGAGGCTGGAGAGCTAATTCCCGAGACGACCAGCAGGAGGCGCTGCAGGGGTGAGTCCGACCCGTTACAAGCAGACAGCAGACTGCGACCCGACATCGTCATGACGGATGCAAAAAAGAAGAAGGTCCTCATCGTAGATGTCACGGTGCCTTTTGAAAACGGGTCACCGGCCCTCCACGAGGCCTGAGCAAGGAAGGCGTCGAAGTACACCCCGCTGGCTGAGACCTTGAGAGCCCAGGGCTACGAGATCCAGATACATGCCCTGATCGTGGAGCCCTGGGCTCGTGGGACCCCCACAACCAGCCGGTTCTGAGAGCATGCAGAATTGGTCGACGCTATGCCCAGCTCATGAGACAGCTCATGGTGTCCGACACCATCAGGTGGTCCAGAGACATTTATACGGAACACATCACAGGACACCGTCAATACTGCATTGAGTAACCGAGACCACCGACCAGGGAAATAACTCACTTCTTTCCCTGAAGGACCAAGGGACGCGTCCCACCCATGTACTTATCCGCTACACCGATACTGACTTGGACTCCTTATTCATTCCATGGGTGGCGTACCCGAGCCCACTTATCCACTGACACTTTAAAAACCCTTGCACCCCAATCTGGGTCTATGCAGGTTATGCGATATGTATGTATAGTCTCATCCTTGCAAATGATACCTGTAACCCCCCCCATAACCCAAGCCTGACCCCAGATGTACAGTACCTTGCCTCTTAACTCATGTATATTTCATTTTAAACATTAACTTTAATAATATTTTTATATAAGGAAACTTAGTTCCTCCTGTTTGTCATTTATTTCTTTTTTTCTCTAAATTCTTGATAAATGGAGAGTACATGCATAGATCCCCAAAACCATTGCAAGCTATATAAACTATCTTTTGCTTACAGAGACAGACCTGTCCTCGCTTACAGACAACCCCCCAACCTGAATCAAATACTCACCAGCAACCACACATCATTGAATAAAAACACTGACCCAGGAACCTATCCTTGCAACAAAGCCCGATGCCAACTCTGCCCACATATCTATTCAAGCGACATCATCATAGGACCTAATCACATCAGCCATGCCATCAGGGGCTCATTCACCTGCACATCTACCAATGTGATATATGCCATCATGTGCCAGCAATGCCCCTCTGCCATGTACATTGGCCAAACCGGACAGTTTCTACGCAAAAGAATTAATGGACACATCTGACATCAGGAATCATAACGTTCAAAAACCAGTAGGAGAACACTTTAACCTGTCTGGTCATTCAATGACAGACCTGCGGGTGGCAATTTTGCAACAAAAAAGTTTCAAAAACAGATTCCAACGAGAAACTGCTGAGCTTGAATTGATATGCAAATTAGATATGATCAATTTAGGCTTAAATAGAGACTGGGAATGGCTGAGCCATTACAAACATTGAATCTATCTCCATCTCTCCATACTCTCACACTTCTTATCAAACTGTCTGTACTGGGCTATCTTGATTATCACTTCAAAAGTTTGAAACCTTACTTAATTGGCCTCTCAGAGTTAGTAAGACAACTCCCACCTTTTCATGCTCTCTGTATGTGTATATATGTCCTCAATATATGTTCCATTCTATGCATCTGAAGAAGTGGGCTGTAGCCCATGAAAGCTTATGCTCAAATAAATGTGTTAGTCTCTAAGGTGCCACAAGTGCTCCTGTTCTTTTTGCGGATACAGACTAACACGGCTGCTACTCTGAAACCTATCTTTTGCTTCAGCTAACTTATTTCTTGCAGTAATGCTGAATGCAGCTAGGAGGAGCTTCAGGCAAACTAAGCATCTTCAGCCTTAGATTCAATCTGCAACAAAACCAACTGGCTAGTAGAGAAGATACTTTTTCTAACAAGAAAACAAATCCCATATAGATTCCCTTCAAGTTCAAATTAAAATAATCATTAGGATACTACTAAATATTTTACAATTTTATTGATTTCTCTGAATCAGGGGTAGGCAACCTATGGCACGGGTGCCAAAGGCGGCACGTGAGCTGATTTTCAGTGGCACTCACACTGTCCAGGTTCTGGCCACTGGTCCCAGGGGCTCCACTGCTGGTCTGGGGTACCGGCCGCCAGCTTCCTGCCAGCTGGGGTTCCAGCCACCGGCCACACTCAGCTCGCTGCCGGCCCCGGGGGCTTCGCTGCCGGGCTGGGATACCGGCTGCCGGCCCCCTGCTGGCTGGGGTTCCGTCCACCGGCCCTGCTCAGCCCGCTGCCGGCCCCAGGTCCTGGCCACCGGTACGGGGGGCTCTGCTGTTGGACTAGGGTCCCGGCCACCGGCCCAGGGCTCTGTAGCCACTCCCAGCTGTGGCCCACTGGCCCCAGCTGGGGCAGTGAGGGGTGCAGACAGGGGCAAGAGAGGGCACAGCTCAGCACCCCCACTTTAAAAATTGTTCCAGCGCCATTGTACAGAGATATTTTTAAATCCTGATTTGCTCCATACATCACTATCACGCCATGTGGAACAGCGCACTGCGTTTGACATTGAGATTAGAATGTACATGCAAGAACTGGAATCAGAATTTTCTGATAGATTTCAAGATTTCAAGCAATTTGGCCCAATGTTTTCTTTTCTAATTAAATCTGAAAAATTCAACGAAAGCGACTTGGATTTGTCTGCATTTCAGTGGATGGGTGTTGAAGATTTCAAAACGCAGCTCATTCAGTTAAAAAGCTCAGAATTGTGGGCATCAAAGTTTGGAGATCTGCAGAGTGCACTTGAAGCTACCGAGAGAGATCATGGGGCCTCTATTCTGACCTGCTGGATGTTCCTGCCAGTGAAATTTAACTGTTTGAAGAAAATTGCATTTGCAATGCTTTCAGCATTTGGATCCACATACCTGTGTGAACAGGTATTTTCACACATGAAATCTGTCCTCTGTCCCCAGGGCCAGCTCCAGGCACCAGCTTGGCAAGCAGATGCTTGGGGCGGCCACTCCGGAGAGGGGCGGCAGGTCCAGCGATTCGGCGGCAATTCGGCGGATGGTCCCTCACTCCCGCTGGGAGCGAAGGACCTTCTGCCGAATTGCCGCCGCAGATCGCGATCACAGCTTTTTTTTTTTTTGGCTGCTTGGGGTGGCCAAAACCCTGGAGCCGGCCCTGTCTGTCCCTCTCGGAGCCAGTTAACAACTGATCACTCAGAAGCCTGCGTGCAGTCTAAAGTATCCAAATATGTGCCAGACATTGGAAAACTCAGCAAGGAAAATCAAGGGCAAGGATCACACTAAACTGATAAGATCTGCATTTTAATTTAATTTTAAATGAAGCTTCTTAAACATTTTAAAAACCTTATTTACTTTACATAGAACAATAGTTTAGTTATATATTATAGACTTATAGAAAGAGACCTTCTAAAAACATTAAAATGTATTACTGGCACGCGACACCTTAAATTAGAGTGAATAAATGAAGACTCGGCACACCACTTCTGAAAGGTTGCCGACCCCTGTGCTAAAGAAAATCAAGACATTTTCTAAAACTGCCAGTGTGTTCAATCCAGGTGTAGGAGGGTACTGCAGTCATGTTGTGAAACAGATTTATTTTACAATTTTTTTCATTATGGTTGTTTGCAGTGTTGTTGTAACTGTGTTGGTCCCGGATATGAGAGAGACAAAGTGGATGAGGTAATATCTTTTATTGGACCAACTTCTGTTGGTGGACAGGACAAGCTTTCAAGCTTCAAAGAGCTCTTCTTCAGGTCTGGAGAAGATAACCAGAGAGTCTAAGCTAGATGCAAGGTGGGACATTGTTAAGCATAAGGGGTTCAACCACGCTGTAGAAGATCACTTAAAATGAAGTGAGTAATTTATAGTTGACATTTCTGCACATAGCTTTTCAAGCAGCTATCTTGTTAAAAAATACTGTCCATAATGGTCAGCATCTAACATCCTCTTCCCTCTGGAGAATTTACTAAATAAGACAGGACTATGGAAGCCTTTAGGCCTCTGTCTATCAGAAGATT